GTGTCTGTGTATTTACACGGTTGCCCCTGGTGTCTGTGTATTTACACAGTTGCCCCTGGTGTCTGTGTATTTACACAGTTGCCCCTGGTGTCCGTGTATTTACACGGTTGCCCCTGGTGTCCGTGTATTTACACTGTTGCCCCTGGTGTTTGTGTATTTACACGGTTGCCGCTGGTGTCTGTATGTACACGGTTGCCCCTGGTGTTTGTGTATGTACACGGTTGCCCCTGGTGTTTGTTTGAGGACAAGGTTTCAGTCATTGTGGGTTACAAACCTTTCCACGTCATGAAGAATCACCTGCTCATCGTTTCCTGTTGGAGAGCACACACAGAGTGGGTCAGTGGACGACACGGCTGCATAACAAATAGGTGATCATGTTTTTATCTGTATGCTCGTTTGTTTGAAGTGTTAGCAAAATATCTTAAGGACAAATGGAAGTGCATCAGGAACTGATCACCTTTAGGAGTCATTTTAATTCAAGATGGCCACCACATAAATGACTACAGCTCAGTCCACCTCACAGCTATGGAGGAAACTTCACACCCTGAGTGCCTCATCAGTCAACATAAAACTCTGGCATGAAGGGCGGCGGGCGACAGGCATTCCTTCAAGAACCACTCTGCCTTTTATTATTTAATAAACTGAAACCTAGTGTTTATTCCCAGAAAGGTCCAGTTCGTGTTGAACGGCTGCGGCTCACCTCCAGAGAAGACCTTGGTGTTGGTGCTGTCAAAGGCCAGGCAGAAGATGTTGGAAAGGTGCTCCCCCTTCAGTTTCACAGGCTTGGAGTGAGAGTAAAGGGCTCTCTCCATGTGCCACAGGAGCACCCTGCGGTCATCTCCTCCTGCAGGGAGACACACACACCTGTTCCATCTGATCTGTGACTACCAGCTGTAAACATAAGATGGACTCCTCAGCCTCAGCTGGGCTGTAAACAACCAAAGTGACGGCCACAGTCACCAAACAACCTAAAATAAACTACACGTAATGTTTAACGAGAGCAGAGCATTGACGGACAGGTCGTTTAACGACGTGTTGAAGTTATGATTGACTAAAGGTAGCCACGAGTAAACGAAGCCAAGATGGCTCACTGGGCCAGACGACTGTTCTCAGACAGTGTTGTGTTTTCAGAAGGTCCCTCACAAACAAACAAACAAACACGTAGTTTCTGCTGGTGAAACGTCGTTTTAAATACTGACACATGAAACTGGACCCGCGGAGCTGCTAGCCACACAAGCTAGGCTAAGTTAGCATCAACTGGCGCAGGTCCAGCTGTCAGCTAGCGTTAGCATGCTAACATTAGCATGCTAACGCTAGCTTGCTAGCGAGGACTCCGCAGCTCACCGGAGACCAGCCACTCTCCGCCGTTGTTGGAGAACTCGATGGCGTTGACACAACCGAAGTGTCCCTCCATGTTCTTCTTGTAGAGGCTGCTGCAGCCCGCCAGCCTGCGTCTCTGGAACTCATCCTTCATGAGCGGCTGTCCCGTGAGCTGCCTGCGGGACATGAAGCCCACCGAGGAGCGCATACCGCAGCCCTTCACCTCCTTCATTTTGACCCGCTGAAGAAGAACTCCTTTCGGCTCTCTGACATCCACTGCTCAGCCGGGTGCCTGCGGAGCCTACATTATGTTGTCTGGCTGCACGTCGCCCGCCTGCTGATGTCGACGTTGTTCCGGAGAACTCAGAGCTCCTCTGCCTTCTTGTGTCCCGGAGCCGCAGCGGTGTGTCCGTGGGAGGACCTCTCCCTCCCCTCAGGACCACTGGTTCTCCTGCGTGGGAGCCCAACAGTGAATACAAATAAAACGTATCTAGGTCGTAGTTAATAATGAAACGATTATCTCATGTTGTGAATTATTCTCATAATAATGAGAACCAAACGAATGATGAGGTGTCACGTCATAAACAGATGTGGTTCCAGCTGCAGACTTCCTGTGAGTGTGTTGAACATGCATCAGGACCTTTCTGAGGACTTCACACACATGCTTTAGATATTTCATGTAGTCCCCAGGATGTGTGGCCTACAAACAAAAAACATTTTACAATATTAAAAACATTCCTGAAGCACGTATTAATTTTATTTTTCTTTCGGCTGCTCTTCTTCAGGGGTTGCCACACGAACTAACTCACCTGAAGACTTGGATGCTCTTCCTGACGACCACAGACCATCGATCTGTGTGGAGCAGAGAGATGCCATCTAGGGCGCCAGGGGGAGCAGATGGTGGGGGTTAAGTGCCTTGCTCAAGGGCCAAATTGGGACAAATGAGAGTAGAGGCAGGTGTGGGTGTTTCAACTTGCCCACCCATATTTTGAAGTTGTCAGTCTGGGGAGTTGAACCTGCGACCAATCACAGGCCCACCACTCCCCCCTAAATATATGCACATTAATAAAAACTGTAAAATATATAATATGGCCTGGGTAGGTGGGGTCCCCCATAATGTGCACTGATTCAAAGAAGGGAAGCTGCAGAGTCCGTGGTGGTGACCATCAGGGCTGGGGCTTCAGCATGGATTAGTCTACGCTGATTAACAAGATGTTGGACGTTTATTTGATACAAGCGTAGGGACACGTTCTCATTAATGGACACAGTCTGTCGGAAACCGACAAATTTTCAAAAACTGACGGAGTTTACCGTCTGTTGTTTAATAATCTGGTTGTTGTGGTAAGGGAAGCAAAAATCTGTACAGAGGAGTGGGAACCTGGGGGGCGTGGCTTTTCAGGAGTGGGAACCCCCCCCGGGGGGCGGAGCTTCTCAGAAGTGGGACCTTGGGGGGGAGGAGCTTCTCAAGAGCGGAACATTGGGGGAGGAGCTTCTCAGGATTGGGACTCTGGGGGGAGTGGCTGTGCTGCAGGTTCTCATGGGGCAGAAAGAACATCTCACAACTACGTCAGAGAGCAGATTTCTTTACTTCTGCAGAGAATGAATCCAGCTTTAGGTTTAATAACAAAATGGGTGTAACTGGGACGCTGAGTACACAATTTTGTTCCACCTCATGTACATGTGATGTGAATGACTATAAAGAAACTTGAACTTCAAAATAAATGACAAGGACACTTTAGTGTGTAGAAGTTTTATTACCCCCATTTTTGGGATTACAGTGCTAGTCTTCAAGGAGCTTTTAGTTTCAACAAATCTTTGAGACAACATAAAAAAACAAAAACATTCACAACAACTTTTACAGAGAGGAGGAAATAAACATGAAGGGGCTGAAGTTTTCTCCTGAACACAGACACAAGTTCAAAATGAGCTTTTCCATCCTGCACATCAGCTGCTTTTATTTGTTGTACACCCAGATATCATCAGTCACCGTTGTGGAGAGGGAAACTTCTTACAGTGATTTGTCAAAATTATGCAAATAATAAATATTCACAAAGATTAAAATTAAACTTCTACCTACAGACATTCTGTGATTGTGTTTAGATTTTAGGTTCGAGTAAAGCTGAGGCTTCATCCACGCTCTGACACATGCGAGAGAAAACTGAACCCTGATCCTCCCACTGAGCACACTGTGGTCTGAGCTGGCACAGATGTTTGGACAACATCTGTGTTTGTGCTGCTGTGCAGCTACTGTAGCAGTCAGCAGGACGGCAGAGAGCCAGCTGTCCCTGAAGGTCCTGGAAGGGGTCCGGTCAGAGTTTAAAGTGCTTTCCATGACGGCTCTGTTGATACATTCACCACTACATCATGAAGTCATCATGAAGTCATCTCTAAAACATCTCACAAGTAACGATAACAAGCTCCTCCAGAATGGAAAAACAGATTTAGGTCAAATGTAGAGTCCCAGAGAGGAGTGGTAGTACGGAAGCCAGGGGAGGACATAAAGGTGCATCTAAAAACTTAGAATATTGTGAAAAAGTTCAATATTTTTTGTCATTCATTTCAGAAAGTCAAACTCAAATATTACAAAGATTCATTCCACACAGAGTGAAACATTTCAAGCCTTTATTTCTTGTAATTCTGATGATTATAACTTACAAATAATGAAAAATAAACTCAGTGTCTCAGTAATTTGAATATTCCAGAACCAGCTTCTGGTAATTTTTTCAGTGTGGGCCGGTGCCGAGTCCTGCTGGAAAATGAAACCAGCTTCTCCATGAAGCTCGTCAGCAGAAGGAAGCAGGAAGTCTGTCGTGCTAGATGCTGCGTGGACTGTGGACTTCAGAGCGCTCAGTGGACCAGCACCAGCAGAGGACATGGACCCAAACCATCCCTGACTGTGGAAACTTCACTCTGGACTTCTCCACTCTTCCTCCAGACTCTGAGACCTTGATTTATAAATGACATGAACATTTACTTTAATATGAAAAGAGGACGTTGGACCACAGAGAGACAGTCCAGTTCTTTGTGTCCTCGGCAGGTAAGATGCTTCTGATGTTGTTCAGGAGTGGCTGGACTTGAGCAAAGAGACATTTGTAGCTCATGTCCAGGAGTTCATCAGCTGATCAGGGTGAGACACCAGGAGTTTACAATATTCAACCTCTTCACAATATTTAAATTTTCCGAGACACTGAATTTATTTGACATTATTTGTAAGTTATATTCATCAAAATTACAAGAAATTAAGGATTGAAATGTTTCACTCTATGAGTCATGGATCTATATATGAGTTTGACTTCCTGAAATGATTGAAAGCATTTCAAATATTAAATTAAATTAAAGTCAAAGCTTGTAGCAGGCGTGTAGCTTGGAGTGTGAACCCAAGAAGACTCTCATCTACCACCATGTAGCTATTTTTGTGTTGACTAAGGCTGGTTAGCTGTGGCAGCCATCTTGAATTGGGTTGACTCCAAACCTTGATCAGTTGTAGATGGAGTCATTTCTGTGAGTTTCATCAGAATCTGTCCTGTGTATCATGAGATATTTTTGCTAACACCGTCAGAATCATGTTTATAGGCTGTGTGTGCGTGTCTGGTTGTTGGTGTCTGAGAATCAAACACAACAAATCAACACGACTACACAACCAGGTGTTTACTGCAGCACACCGGGAGTGGGGTCCAGATGGAGTCCAGAAGGTGCAGAAGACCTGCAGGATGACACTTCCAGACAGGAAGTAACATGAAGTCAGAGAAACAGGCAGCACCTCAGACAGGACGTAACATG